ACAATCACATCCACACCCACACGCACATCCCTCACACTCATACAAAACTCAAATGCATTCATACACATACACACACATACTCACACACACAACAAACACGCACACGCAGATACTCACACATCGCTGACACACACGTACTTTTGCACCACACTCACACAAATACCCACATACGAACACAAGAGCTGCACCATTCAGTACTGAGTTGTTCTCCTCTAATGTAAATGTCCTACAGAGTGAAATGTCACCTCACATTTCCCCAGACGTAAGAGAAATGTGCTCTCTCTTTGTTCACAGGCTAATGGGGTTTTCCTTGGGGCTTCCTTTGGTCCAAGACCTGAAATTCCCCTTTCTGCAGTGGTGAGGTGTTCCTCGTATTTGGTTTCTCAGGGTTGATAAAAGGAACAAAAAAAAAAATCACACACTCCCTTTCCCCAGTGAGGCATGATTTGGGGCCCATCACAAAGCATTTGATCTGGCTGCAGTATTTTCTTTCCAGTCTTACAGTAGATGAATCCCTTGTGTCATGGCACCAACTCCTCGAATTCCCAAGCTGCCTTAGGGTGCCGTGAAGAACCCCCAGTTGGAGGAGTAGGACAGCAGTGGTTTAGACAGAAGGGGCAGTGATTCCCACCCAGGAAAGTCCCCCAGCAGCAGTGCCACGTTATCTCATTGGAAATCACTTCACCTCTGGAATCCTCAGTTTCCACATTTGTAAAACAAGGGGTGGTTCTACGTGCTAGTTTAATTCCCTTTGACTCTAGAGGTTTGTGACTCTGTGGTTCTGTGGTCCAAAAGCAAGGCTGCTCATCTCAGTAACTCTGGCCAGTGTTTTTATCCCCAGCCCCAGGTGAATGGCGTGTTTGGAGTCACTGAAGAAGCTCAGGGTTTTACGGAAAGTAACTTTAATCCTGTAGCCACCCTGCAAAATTTAGGACTGGATCCAACTTTCCTTGGGGAGCCTCTTGGGCTGGAGAATCACTGAAAATTTTGAAGTTGCCCTGGGATGACAACCATCTACTGTAAAGTTGTAGAAGCTTTTAGTATTTATCTTTTTGGTTTCTTATATAAGCTAGTTCCAGTTAAAACATCCATCTTGGGCCCAAAATTCTGGGTACATGAAAGGAAAGATTTTCCAGTTGCTCCAGAGATGAGCAGCCATGCAGGTGGGACTACAAACTGGGTTTCTCCCTGTCCCAAAAGGTCAGGAGTAAGAGCAATATTTATAAGGAGAGGAAAGGTAGACTAGAAGAGCATTGAAGTCCCTCTGAATCCCAAGACCTCATTTTAGAACCTAAGCTTTTTGAAAACAGGAATAAGATGAAAATGAGCAGCAGAGAAGAATTTTCATATGCGCATTTACTAAGTGTTACCTGGTGCCAACAAATATTTATTTTGACTTCACTTTGATATTGGTTTTGGAGTACCATAATGATGTCTGGTATAAACTCTCTTTGTTATAGTGAGAAGCACACAGACATGGCACTGGGCATGTTGCTTTCACTATTAGGATTTTGTGATGTATAATACCATTGAATTTTACCCTGGTGACCCTCGTGAATTTTTACATTTGTGTCCTCTCATTTACTGATCCCTACAATGGTCTTGTGAGTTTTGCAGATACCAGTATCATTACCCTCATTCTACTGACAGAAACCCTTGAGTGGAAAGGAGTGAAAGAGGATTAACATAGCACATCTTTTTAGATCACTGCTGAGGACATTTTTGGAGGAGGAATCTTTATGGGAGGAGGAATGTTTGTTTTAACCAGTTGCTTGTGAAAATGAAAACCAACAGTCAAAAACTGAGCTGGGTTCTTTCATGATATTCACAAATTATGGCTGGTCTAAATGTCTTGCTTTGAGAATCATCTAGCATTTAAAAATAGCTTTATTTTAAAATAATTTTTGAGCTGCAGTGTGAGTTTCAAAGTGAAGAACTTGATCATGATTCTCCAAGCTATTTAGAGTGGTCTCCTTTTATACCAGACACATGTGTGAAAGGTAGGGGGGAAAAGAAGGAGAAAGAGATCATTTCTTGAAATTGAAGACTGCGATTATCAAAATCTATCACACTAACCCCATCAAGGACTTTATAGTCATTACTCTGACTCTTCGAGTTTTGTTCTCATCAGGTTCATAATTCCAAAACTGTTTATTTACACTTACCTGGAAGAGGTGTAGTGAAAAAGATGTGAATTTGGAGAAATAAAGAGGAGCACGGTTCACCCGAGAATGTCTTCTTGTGAGCATGCCAATCAGTAGCTCAATTCAAATAGTATTTTCTTTCAACAAAGATGATTCATGATGTGACAGAAAGAGTTCTGGATGAAGTTTCAGTCTCAGCTCTGCACTTAGTAGCTGGGCAAGAGCTTCTGCTCTCTGATTCTTGGTTTATTTGTTAAGTGGAGGTACTAGAACCTACCTCACAGGGTATTTGTGAGGATTAAATGAAATGGGAGTGCCAGCTTTCAGCACTTTGTGGAATTTTCACATTCTATAATAATGCTCAGCTTCATTGTTTCCTGGAGGGTTGTTTAATTTACTATTGTTTTACTACCATTCCTAAGGAAGGGCTGCTTTCCATTTCCATTTGTATTATTTTCTACCCCCTATTTGTATTTCTTTCTACCGTCTCCCTTTTCAATGATTTAGAAAATATATTCTTAAATATCCACATCTACAGCTTTCTCATCTTTTGTTTCCCAAAGAATGAGTAAGTAAGATGGCATGATCACTGCGGGGCGTATTTATGCAGGAGTGATAGGGAGTGGACAGATGGGAGACAGAGTCAGAAGAGATGGTGGAGTTGGGGTCAGAGGGTGGAAATAGTGGGGATGGAAAGGGATCTGGATCCAGTAGTAAGTGGGATGAAGGAAGGATGTGATTGCATGGAGGTAGGAACTCAGCCAGAGTTCTCACCCTTATGTGCCAAAGGTAAATGACATTGCATCATGTATCATGAATATGTGTGAAAAAATAAGCCCAACAAAGCCACTGATGCCTCATGTCAAAGCCACTGTGCAAATAGGACTTTTTCTGCCTTGAAACTCATCATTCAAATATATAATTCCCTTGAGCTTTAATACTTAAAACTTGCCTTCCAGAAAACAGAAATCCGTTGCCTATTGTAGTCGATGTGCTGTCTCCTATACCAGACATCCAACATCCCAGTAGGTTCTGTTTTAAAGGGGAAAAACATATTTTCATAAATATTTACATAATAGAAAACCTTTACAAGTCAATTGTCATTCAATAAATGATTCTGGGAGAGTGGAATCAGAAAATAATTTCAATTTTTTTTGTTTGCCCAGTATTTTCTATTTTTTTTTTTCTTCTTTTTTGCTTAACAAGGAACATATACATCATTGGCCAGTCAGAAAAAATGAGGCTAACTTAAAAACAAATTTAAAAAACGTGATGAGGAGGAAATTCATTTCCTAACTCACTCTTAAAACATGTATTTAGTAAAATAACTCAAAGAAAGTATGTGTGGTTATTTCTTTTTGATTAGAATGCAGAAGGAATTCTTAACAGAGACGTGAAGACATGAATCATAAGGAAAAACATTTTTTGGTCTTGTAGAAATACAAAACACAAATGCAAATGACAAACCTTGTATTCATGAACATTCCTGAACCTATCATGTTGTAATAAAATTATTCGGCTTTTGATCACTATACATTGATCTACTTGAAGGGATGTCCTATCTCATTTATCTTAATATTCCTGATGATCCCTGGTGGTCTAGTAGATAGGAACTGGTGCTCTCTCATTTATCTGAATATTCCCCGTACCTAGCACAGGGCCTAGAATGCAACATAATTTAGATGATGAATGAACAAATTTAAAAATTAGGCCATATTATCTATTTGATGCCAAAACACA